GCATGGTGAAATAGGAGCACGCACTTACATTCTCGTGGGAACAACACGCAAACACATAGTCGAAATAATTAACATCACCGCATACACGAATTCAAGTACGACCAGTCACCACAAGTAGCACCCGTTCACGTGTATGACGCATGGCCAGCCAGCCCCCACGTCATATAGGGAGAGAGAGACAACCCGACGCATGGACGCCGCCACAAGCAATGGCCATTAAGCGATGACATTTAACTGGTTAATAGATACAGTAATAAATTTTGTTAGTATCATTATTATTATTTTTTTTTTTTACTTAGGAACCCAGAAGGCTTCCTGAGTAAAAAAAAAAGAAAGAAAAAATGAAGAGTTAGAGTTTAAGAGTTTTTACGAGGGGTCTCAAGTAAATAAGAGTTTGAAAATTCGTGATTCATTATTTCTACATACACAAACAGTATTTATAGTTTTCTTAACCTTTATAGTAATAATAATGATAAACAATTAATAAATCGAAAATTAAAACAAATGTAAAAAGTTTGGTCCCGGGTCTAGCACCCTGTGGTAGAAAGCACCAGCTCTGGTCACTGGCAGTACCAGCCGCCAACTTAAATCTTTAATTAGCGCACCAAACACTCCAATGGGAATATATATATTTTTCTAAATTATTATTTTGTATTATAGTCACAAACTTTTATTTCGACTTCAGTGTGTTATTGTCCAAAGCACTTCAAATCATATAGAGTTAGGAAGTCCGGAGTTCATATTATTGCATGTTTAGCAAGATACTATTCTTTCAACTTCAAGTTAGCGAACCAATTGGTCCCATTGATTTTATTCAATTTCTCGAGTATTTTTCAAGGGACCGGAAAAAAAAATCGAATTATCTAGAGTCGAGTCTGGTAGTAAATGTACATTAACAATTAATTTAACTTCTTTCTGACAATTCATAAGTGTACCTACATGAATAAGGAAAAATAAAGATATTTTGAGATTGAGTGTTTATAAACAATGTTTGGCATGTATGCTATATATTAAATAAATAACTCCAGCCCTGGTCTACCGCCTATTCTCTTCAGCAGATTGAGTTCAGTAAGGACCTTGTACAGATGTTAAAGGAATACAATATACGAAGGAAGTTAAAGATATTTTTAAACCGCTTATCTCCAGTTTTCCTGGATCTGTGACGAAATAAGTGCCTAGTGTTGTACTTCATAGACTATCGATAAATGTTATTAATTTCTATATACAAGACGCGTCTATGGTTCAACGTGAAATGACAAATATAAAGGTACCTGTTGCGTTAAGCCTTCAACTATTGGTGCGTTCTAATCACGGCTGTGCACCAATTTTACTGAAACATATACTGGCATTAGTGAGGACACAGAAGGTTGCCTTAGAACAGGGGGTGAATGGGAAAGAAATTCACCTGATGTTAAGTGATACCGCCGTCCATGGACACTAACATTGTCAGAAGGCTCGCAAGTCGCAAGTGCCTTTTACGAATTGGTACGCTATTGAAGGACCTTAAGTCGAATTGGTTTGAAAATACTGAACTATCTGCTTATCTGTATACTTATAAAACGTATTCAATAAGCCAATACTCATATAGTAATAAATTATTTATAAAACTGTAAGAATCTATTATTATTGCGACAGGTCCAGAAATACTGCTAGGAACATATCTAATCCAGCTTGATAACAACATTGACATTTGCAAATGATCTTCACGGTCAACGAGTAGTAATTGATGCTTAACCAATGATTTGGCGATCTTCTATATTGTGTAAACATATTTTATTATTTCTTATTTGTATTGTCTACTCCTCCCTCAAGGCGTGCAACGCACCCACTAAAAGTGGGTGTCTATGGGCTGCGGTGACTGCCCTTTTTGGTCGTCCCGCAAGCTCGTTTGCCCCCCTATTATATAAAAAAAAATGTATTTACCAAGATAATTTATTCATTCCCTCAATTTTTATATTTATTTCGTAATCCTACAGTTAACAAAGATTATATATAAGCACAAACAATTACACTAGCCAAAGATGCTATAATGTTTACAAATAGGTCCAAACATTTACAAAAGGGTAAAGTAATAACAATTATTCAATACATGTATCTATGTACCTAATGTAAAATGTGAAAGTGTGTATGTGGGCTATGCTCATGATACGGGTGATTTTGCGCTATAGATATTCTTAACACTCGTTTTACCCGCACATACAGTCTAAGCAGTTCCAGAAGCAGGCCCTGCTTGGGCTTTGGGCTGGGCGATGGTATAAATGCTTACTGCGAGAGATATAACTAAAGTACAAAACATAACTATGACTTATTTAACTTGAAACCACCGATTGGAAATAATATTTAAATATATGTATGTACAGTGAATGTTTTATTTATACATACGTTTTATATATAAATAAACCTTTTTAAGTCTGGGCCTCAGGTTTCTGTATCTGTTTTATGATCATTTGCCAATCTAATGGGCAAGAAGGTGATCAGCCTCCTGTGCTTATCACGCCGTCGACTTGGGTCTAAGGCAAGCCAGTTTCCTCATATTTTCCTTCGTAAGAGCAAATGTTAAATGCGCACATAAAAATAAAGTCCATTGGTGATTGGGGATCGAACCTCAGGGATAAGAATCGCACGCTGAAGCAACTAGGCCAACACTGCTCTTTTAATATTGTAAAGATTTGATTAATATTATAAAGAGGAAAGATTTGATTAATATAGGCTCCAAAACTGGACTGATTTGAAAGAATTTTCACCATTATAACCCTACGTTATCCCTGATAAAAGTAGAAAAAGTTAGGGATTTGAGACCAATAAAAATTCATATATATGCAGAGGAAACTATTGACAACAGAGCAATGTGACTACAGTTTTATTGAAGACATTAATATCTACATATTTCCAACAAAAAATATTTTTTTTAGCATTTAAATGTCATAGCTAGTTGTATGTAATTGTGTGAAATTGCAGTTATTAACTAAAAATAATAGTTTTATATTCCATATCGAAATATCAACAACACTACAAGTGGTTGAATGAACTAGCTTGCATCAGACCGTGCCAGGCCGTGCTTAGTACGGAATCGTGTATCACCTAATTGATAAACGTCGTAACCGACATAGGGTATTATATAACCTATGCCAAACCATTAAGGTCGCGTTTAGTATGAGCGTTGTTAGCTAAGAAAGAGAACTCGGCAGTATGAACCTTATTGCTTTGAGTTAAGATGTTTCACTAATACATTATGTAACGACGGAAGTTTGAGGTGTTTGTATTGGAATTTGGCACGTGTACTTTTTGATATTAAGCCGCTTATTGCGTGTTAGATGATATAGGTTTAGGATGAATTGTTCGATTTTCGAATGTTGGCACTATGCAGGTGCGTTTTGAAAATGTTCGATTTTTAAAAAAATACTGTGTTTGTCAAACGTGATGCGTATTATTTATTTCGTAATTTATTTAGCTTATTTTCGTAAGCTAACATAAATTGTATATAACAAAAATACATACCTAAGATATAGTCTGTAGAAAGGAAAAAATCAATGAAAATTATTCTTCTTTTAGTGCCATTACTGGCTTCTTTTAGTGGCTGTTTACCTTGGATTTTACCCATTATTGGTAGCGTGAAAATTACTAAATAAATTCAACTATGTAATACCAAATTCTGCTGTGTTATGTGAGGGTATGCTTATGATGCAGGTTTAGCGCTATGGATATTCTTTATACTTTTAAGCATATTCCGCGATAGCTTAAACAAGTCAAGGCTTATTGGTCATTGTATGTCCGGGCTGCGCGATCCAAAACTTTTTTGTATAACGTTTTTTGCATAGTTGTTGTGATGTTGGTCTTTATGGTATTATATACACTTGCGCAATTATGTTTAAGACAAATTTCGCTTGACTTACCTGTGTGACTCTCCTATGTCACAGACTAAGCGCGAACTATTATGCCAAACGCCATGAAGTTGTGGAGTTTAACACAACATATTTAATTCAATAAATCATCTATCTCTTGTCAAGGCAGCATTCGTAAGAAACGAACAATCGGACGAAGGATTTTATTTTTGGGAATGGAATATCGCTGTTGGCCTCGACAGCTCTGCTGAAGCTGTTTTGGCGAGCAAATTCTGCCTAATTATCCCGAGCTTTATATAAGCGGTTTTTAGTATGATTTTGCTTTGACGCGACGCCTTTTAATTTTTTATTGGGTATGGTCATTGGATCATCCGGATCTATTAAGACATGTGGAAATGATCCACGAAAGCCTTAATTTTTGGGATTGTATGGCATATAGACGTCGCTTTCTATTGGTTAAATCAAAATCGGTTTAGTAGATCCAGAGATAAGCTACAACCTCACAAACCATACTTTATAATACATTATTAATTTATTCATTAACACGAACAGAAACACATGAATCCAACACGTGGAGCTATAATTGTTATCTGCGTAATTTAAACGGAAAATTATATATTATTTATCATAGCAAATATAAAGTTAAGTTAAGGTTTATAATGTACTGAAATTATTTTTAACCATGTTTAAACTTGGTACATCCAGCGTGCGACTCTCATCCCTGAAGTCGTAGGTTGGATCCCCAGCTGTGCACCAATGTACTTTCTATGTGTGCATTTAATATTCGCTCTTACGAAGGAAAATATCGAGGGGAAACCGGCTTGCCTTAGACCCAACACGACGGCGTGTGACACAGGAAGCTGATCACCTACTTGCCTATTAGTTTGCCAAATCATCATGACACAGATAGAGGTATTAAGATTGTAGCGCCACTGATTTATTTTGTAGGTTTAATCATTTATAATAGTTTGAAATGGTTTCCCTCCAGTTCTTGTCCGAGGGCGGTGAGATGGGGCTATAACGTGTCCATTCAAGTACCATCCCAAAGCCCATCCTTCAAGAGATCAAAGACCAGTGGGGCCACTCGCTTGCCGTCCATGAATTGTCTATGCCTTGTGTTTTATATAATTTCAAGCAATTTTGTGTATTTGTTTCAGAATGTCAACCCTGCTCTTCTGGCAGGGCAAAGGCAAGGCGAACGGTGCCCCCAATGGCAGGAACTGGATACACGCACCAGACGCATTGGTGAAGGGGCATGTGGCGTATTTGGTTAAGGTAATTACAAATTTTAAGTCTGGTTTGGGCTGGTTACAGTTGTAACCCGTGAAGTCGTTAGGATGCAGAAATTTGAGACCCAGACCTAAAAGGGTGGTCGATTTATATATATATATATATATATACGTAGTCGGTCCCAAAGTTCTGTCATAAATGGAAATAATGATAAAAACAAAAGTACTGATCAGTTTGTAATGAGTGATATATCAATTCTTAGTACATTAATTAAGGAATAAAAAAAGCATAAAAATATTCGAAATAACCTCCCTCATTTTTAATACAGGCCCTTAAGCGTCGCGGCCAGTCGTCTATCGCAGCACGCACCATATTCGTGTCGATTTCAGTCACTGGTTTTTATAAAGATGACTTCAGATTCTCCAAATTTTCATGAGGTTTATCACAGACCTTCCTCTCTAAGCCCTGTCATAATTTCTGGTCCAAAGGATTAAGGTCCGGACTGGAGGAAGGCCAATCCTCATGTCTAATTAAGACGATGTTTTGACGCTCAAACCAGGCTTTAGTGGTCTTGGCTTTGTATGCAGACGCAGAGTCCTGCTGGAACACGAAGTGATGTCCCGCAAATAGGGTGCTGGACATGTCTTTGACAAGGCGATACAAAACCGTCTCTTGGTACACTGTAGCACTGGTTTTGACCCCCTTTTCGAAAAAATTAACCTCAGTTAGCCCGTAATAGGACACTCCCAACCAAACCATTACTGATGATGGATGATGTCCATGTTGCACCCTTGGAACTTTATTTTCAACTTCTTCAGAACTCATAGCGTACACTGTATAATTCTGTTTATTGTACTTCTCTTCAATATCGAAAAATTTTTCGTCCGTAAAGAGGATATCACGGTGTCGGTTTTTCGCGTACCGCTTAAACAACACCCGCGATCTCTTAAGCCTTATTGCTTTTAGACGAGCATTAAGTAAGTGCCCACTCTTTTTTTGTATGCTCGTAGACCAAGATCTTCATTTAAAACCTTTTTTACTGTTTTCCTACTGACACCCATCTGCAAATCCATCAACTTCTGTTTTCGGACAGGATTTCTTACTATCCGCGCCTTGATAGCTTTGCTTACTGCTGGTGTTCTTGTGGAGCGTGGCCAGCCAGTTATTTTCTTGTCCTCAACACTGGAGACTTCAAGGTACCTATCAATAGTACCGTACACAAACCTAAGCGTTATATTCAAATTTTTGAGCAACTTGAAAATGGTACTCGGCGAGTGTCCACAGCGGTGCAACGCAATAACAACTATTCGGTTTACTTTCAATGTCCACTCCATCGTGAAAAATTACGGAAAGTTATTGTTTTTTGTTTTAAAACAATAATCAAACATTCCAAAATAGAATGCAATAATTTTTTTATAAAATCCTGCTCGAAATGTAGAAATAATGTGCTAGTGACAGAACTTTGGGACCAACTACGTATATACATTTGTATATTACATGTAAAGAATAAAGGCTTATTATTATCTCTCTCTTCGGTCGGTAGCTCATGTCTGAGCTATCTGGTCAGGAAGGAAACTGGAGTAGTCTTATTCCACCGGTTTCTGTCCAGCGCCTCTCTTATAACAGTGTATAGTTTTGAGGACGATGAGTCTTCCACTTGGTTGGTTCATCTGGTTGGTGAACGGCCACGAGATCTTTTGCCTTCCACCAACCACGATCGGTTTCCCCAAGTTCTCATCGCCTCTGCGCATTGTATGGCCGAACTAAGATACTTCGCTGTAGGCATATGGTAAACAGGCGAGTCCGTATGTCGAGTTGGGTCAGAAATCAGAATCGATGTATTGGTGCGCTTCGCAGTCCACGGTATTCTTAGCATTTATTTATAGCTTTGCCTTTCTTATTATGGGTGATCCGAAGAGAAACTCAAAAATGTTGTCATTACATGATAGTTAATTAACACGATTATCAGGAATTTACGCGTTACAAGTAATTTTGCTTTATCGGTAAACTTGGCGAATCTTATAAATTTTCTATACTCCTAAGTAAGTAAGTTGCCTAATAACTTATGTAACATGTTTTTTTATGTATAAAGTGTTAATAAATAAATAGGAGAACAATGTGAAAGGAACAAGTAATTGAAGGTTGTATGACAAAGAAATCGTCACCTTCAACCCGAGGCCGAATTTGAGATGAGCGCCGCATGAGTGGATTTGACGATGACACGTTTTTGACACGGTCTTTTTGTGGGAAGAAAGACGCGACTCCTTCACCCTTATAACACGGAGATTTCTCGATATTAATAATAATAATCTTTATTGATTTTTCTCACAAAAACTTAGTACATAAACAAGTGACAGTTATATACTATTATAAATGAATAATTGTCTTTCTTATATTTAGGGAAAATGCTAGTTTATGTGAGACTGATGCCTGCTAAGGTAAGAGTACCTGTGTTACAGGTCATCAGGCCTCCACCACTTCGGATCGAAAGGTCTTAAAAAGTAGAGAAAAATTTAATGAGAATAAACAATCATTATTACATAGATATTTCTGTAGTGTGAAATGTATAATGATTTCTCAAGTCCATAACTAGTTTTGTTTTTTTAATTAAACTTGATTAAATTAGTGTTACTAGTTTTTGAATAGTTAAAACGGTTTTACGAAATTACTTCTACGCTGTACCGCGTTGTAGGGGTATTACTGTATTATAATACAGAAATATTTTTTCTATTGGGTTTTTTATAATAGTAATTATATAATATAGTATTAAACAGGTGTCCAATGTACAATAAAATAAAAAGGTGAATACAATTTAGAAGGTGGATAGACCAAGGAAACAGCTAATAAATGGCAGAGAGAGCACTGTGAAGGAATGGTGGGATGTGGAATTTGCCAAAAGGAGCACACAGATAACCACACTCCTAAAAAGGTTAAGAAATATAAATGTGTCTAAGTGTGTATCTGAAATGAAAGGCTGTACATTATTATTTTGTGGAAAAGAAAATAATAAAGCCTAATTTATTCCTTGAAACATTAATCCATCTTTGCAAAAGATACACACACTTATAACTCGTATACATTAATAATATTTTTTTCCAAGGACCTCTTATAGTATGGGCCTTCTCCAACTGGCTCCATGTCTCTCTATCTTGAGAATTTTTCTCCCAATCCTCCCCACCAACTTTAAGCTCGTCAGCCCAGTGCCCACCATGCAGATGACCCCTCTTTCTTTTCCCTGGTGGCCTTTCCACCTTGTTGCCCTGTTTGTCCATGCGAGCATATTGTTAATGCGAGCGGTATGGCCCACCCACTTTCCACTTTCACATGTTTTTTGCACTGTGATAATGCATCAATAACTTTTGTCTTATTTTTTATTTCTGTACTTTTTATATTTAAGCTATATCTATAAGAGTATGTTTTGTATAAGAGAATTACACGTATTTTACATATACTTATATGACATATATTTTTGAAAACACTGCAAGTACTTGATATACTCCACGGAAGGAGCTTGAATAAAATTACTAGGGCCACGGTTTCAGCCGGCTAAAAGGGAAAGTAATAGCTATTTAGACAAGTAGCTGATCAGCCGTCTGTGTCTGACAAAGACCTCCACTCACTCCGCTGGCTCTGCTACCCAAGAAGTGTCATGGCCTGGAGCGACAATCTTCCAGCGCTCCATGTCCTGTACTTCCTCCCGCCATAGGCTCTTTGTCGATCCAGCGGAAACACACTTTAAATTTGTTGAGGAAAATGTAACAATAACAGAAGTGATTGCGTGGTTTATTTATAAATCGTTTGTATTCCGCATTACAAAGGATATTCGAGACGGCACGTGTTTGTGGGTGTTGACTGTTATCAGTGGGGGCGTACGTCACATGATAAGGGGTATTCAGTTGAACTCTACGATAAGAACTAGGTATTCTGACGGCCTGTCTGTATGATTTTAACAAAAGAGCTTTGTCAGCTGGTCTGATATTAGACCCAAACAGGCACAGAAGCCTAAGATCCCGAAATATATTAGGAAATGCCCCCAGAAATTCAGACCCACGCAGAATGGGTCGCGTTTAGTGTGTGTGGGACTCCCGGAAGCTCTTCCCTTTCCTCTAAGAATCATGAAGAGTATACTTCTTCCTCAAAAGCCGGCAATGCACACTAATATAGGTGTCCATGCGCTGTGATTACTGCTCTTTTTGGACGTGCCGTAGGCTCATTTTAGCCCTTATACTATAAATCTAAGAAGTTTTAATCTTTTCTTATAGTGCTGTAAAAGGTTGGCTACTTTAATGCCCTTTATGACAACTTGGTGCAACCAATTGCAGAAGGTTCTTTAACCAGGACTTGCGTCTCCTTCTAGCCAGTTCGCGTTAAAGGACCATGCACTTAGGTTTTTATTCATGGACACGCCGAAATATTCAACTATACCAATTCTCAAAAGCCTTTTGGCATTGTCCATGCGTGGCATCACTTAATACAGATGAGTATCGTTCAAATTGGCTTTTTTAATGTGTTTTTGGATGTTCAAGCGAGCAGTGTTGGCCTAGTGGCTTCACCCTGCGACTCTCATCCCTGATTGTGGGTCGATCCCCGGTTGTGCACCAATGGACTTTCTTTCTATGTGCGCATTTTCATTCGCTCGAACGGTGAAGGAAAACATCGTGAGGAAGCCGACATGTCTTAGACCCAAAAAGTCGACTACTAGATTACTTGCCTATTAGATTGAAAAATGATCATGAAACAGATTCAGAAATCTGAGACCCAGACCTAAAGAGGTTGCAGCGCTACTGATTCTTCTTTGTATGTTCAAGCCAAGGAGTCATATTAACATATCAAGATAGATCCGAAGTAATTAAACATTGCATGCGACGTGATACTTAAATCCATTGACCGTGACATAAGTAATTATTACGTACTTTGTGTAACATATATGATATATATTATATATATGTACTTCGTTTAGTGTGGCTTGTGCAACGATCTTCTCAATTAACACTACACGGTGAGGGCGAACAACGTGATTTATTTTTAGACTGCTGCCCCACGAACTTCGTTTCTCCTTTATGTGATTTTATTTAGCCTACCTTTTTAGTACATACCAACATGGAACATTTTGCTATGCTACCCCAGTGACTGTTCGGTTTTCTGGAATGAAAACTGATTGGGTTTTCTGTGAATTTTTCTCTATATAAACCTCAGAGTTCAAGTCAGAAGATTTTAATTAAAAATTAATAATAGGGGTTGATCGTAGAAGAGTGAAAATTAGGGGTTGTATGTATCTTTGTGCTGTCATAAAAAAATAAAAACAAAAAGAATTGTCTAAAAAATATAATAAATTTTTTTGGGTTGGAGACCCCTTGTCCCTTGTTTGGGGTTTGGGGTTTGAAAGACAGATAGCCGATTCTCAGACAAAATTCTCAATGACAAAATACTCTCAAATAGCCTATTCTCCAACTGTCCATGTACCGCACGGTCTTATCACGGCCATTGTCCAACATGGTCCTATCACAGTCATAGTACAGCACGGTTCTGCTTCATAACGCTTTTAAAGCCAGTATAAAGATTTCTCTCAACCCTTTATTTTTCATATTCTCAAAGTCTGTTCCATACTAATCCCTTGGACTTCTGGCTTCACACAGCATTCCTGTCTTTCATTCAGCCTACTGGGATTTCTTGCACCTAAACAGCTCAGCTAAATGTAGGAGCTTTTAACAGTTGATTTTAAATTTTCCAAAAATTTTCAGTTCCTCGGCTGCACACATGTGGATCAACCGAAAGGGATTGAAGTGGTCAAGGACGCCATCAAGAAGCTGCAATTCACGCAGCAACTGAAGAAGTCGGAGACAAAAGATGCTGCCAAATGCAAGAAGGTGGAGATCACCGTGTCTGTGGATGGAGTGGCTGTACAGGTATATTTTAAATATGATTATATTTTATGTAACAGGAGGCAAACGGGCAGGAGGCTCATCTGTTGTTAAGTGTTGCCGCCCATGGACACTCGCATTGCCAGAAAGATCGTGCGTTGCCGGTTAAGAATTTGGCAGCACCTTCCTCATGAATCGTTCTAGATATTGGTGAAAATCGTGCAGTAGTTTTTGAGTTTGATTTGTTTTTATAGCCAACACGGCTGTGGGTGCATGTTGCACCAATATTTAAAAATCTGTTACGCCATATCATACTATTATTACTTATTCAATCACCTTCCCAGAAGTTAATCCCTGCTAAGGGGAAGGAGATTAGATTTTTAAAGGCAAGGTATCTTTATAGGGAGAGTATTTGGACCAAATGTTTTGACAACACTTATAAATAACAGTTCTTATTATTATGATATTATTATAATTAAAATTACATTTACATGCCTATTTTTATATGGTTGATCTAAATGTACTTTCTTCACTAATAAGCGATTTATTTATTATCTAAAAGTTAGACATATGTCACTGACATGGCATTATCAAGCTCTACATTTCAAGAACTCATATATCTCTAGTTAAGGCAGCGTAAGAAACAGAATACCACGAAAGTCTTCAGTCGGGTTTATATAGCCCATACAAACGTGGCTGGTAAATTGAATATCGTTTAACATCCAGAGATTACAACCTGACAAATTTTACCTCATTAGTAAAGATAACACAACACAACACTAACGAACGTGAATAACCTTCTACAATGAACTCAATAGTAAAGTGAAAAGTGAAATTTTTCCTCATTTTTGGAGTCAGTACGTGACTGAAATATCAACTCGATTTCATTTCGAAAGTTTCTAATGACACGGGGGCTTGTCTATTGAGACTATGAGTACTAGTACAGCCCTGCGATTCTGTAACTGACTTTTCGAACTCACACAGCGGTTTTCGCATCGGCGGTCGCTCTCAAATCAGTCATTTTATGATTTGGCATTCTGAAAAGGTGGGAGCTTGTAGTTTATTGTTTATCAGAATGCCAAATCATAAAATGACTGCTTCACGACTGATTTGAGAGCGACCGCCGATGCGGAAACCGTGTGTGAGTTCGAAAAGTGAGTTACAGAATCGCAGGGCTGTGCTCGAAGCCTTAGACCCAATAATGTCTAAGCACAGCTGATCACATGTAAGTTACATAGGACCCAGACCTAAAAGGTTGTAGCGCCACTGTATTATTATTATGTTGGTTCACCCCTCGTGTATTTACAGAAAACCATAATTAACCGAAACCTTATTCAGGAATCACTCCATCTATTGGTGTGAACTGTATCAAAATCCGTTCAGTATTTTTGAAGTTATAATTATGTTGATTGACTGATTGGTTTTAACATGACTTTAATATCAAAACATATTATTAAAAGGAGTCACGTTACAGGGGTCTAGGCTCCGAATATGATTTTGTCCCATTCGGTGTCGAGACCCTTGGTCCATGGGGTCCTAGCGCTATAAGGCTTTTTAAGGAAATATCAAAAAGGTTAGTCGACATCACAGAAGACCGAAGACCTGGCTGGCTGGTACCTCGGACAAAGAATTAGTCTAGCTATTCAAAGGGGGAACGCTGCCAGTATCTTCGGAACCTTGCCTAAAGGGACTCCTTTTAATAATATATTTTAATTATTATATTATAAGGTTAGTTATTGTTTTTAGTGATCTTTTTTGGCTTGGTTAAATTATCATTTTGTGCTGTAATATAATGTAAATATAATTGTATTTCTTTAATATTTAAATTCTCATTTTAGGAGCCAAGATCAAACAACGTGATGTATCAATTTCCACTTCATAGAATCTCCTACTGCGCTGATGATAAAGGGGCGAAGAAGTATTTCTCTTTTATTGCTAAAGGTAAGATATATTTTTATGTGTTCATTGGACATGGGAAGATAATTTATGTTGAATTTACTACTTAAGGCATATGTGGGTGATGGAAGGTGCTGTTCTTCCTATGACCTTAAGAAAGTCTTCGACCAGTCTTACCACTGACTGGCTATTATTAGAAATACAAAAAAAAATATAAACACATTTTCGCTCTTTAATCAAAATTTTTTTTGTACATATTTCTTTAATATGGTTTACATGTTTAATTATTAAATTACATCACTTTCCCAAAAATAAACCTTTTAATCGATTCATCAAAATTGTACTAACGCTCTATTACTACCAACGCTGTATTATTACCAATGTTCCATTACTACCGATGGTGTATTATTACCAATGTTCCATTACTACCGATGGTGTATTATTACCAATACGATATTATTGGCTATTTTGTATTATTTCTAGTGCTGTATTATTAAAACATTGTATTATTAAAAAGCTGTATTATTAAAGCGCTGTATAATTAAAACGCTGTAATTAAAACGTTGTATAATTTTAACACTGTATTATTAAAGCGCTTTATAATTAAAGCGCTGTATAATTAAAATGCTGTAATTAAAATGTTGTATAATTAAAACGTTGTATTATTAAAGCGCTGTAGAGTTGTAACATTGTATAATTAAAACGCTGTATTATTATTTTTCAGGTGGCAGTACAGTCAACGGTGTAAATGGACACGATACAAATATGGAGAAACACGAATGTTTTGTGTTCATTTCGACGAAATTAGCTTCGGAAATCACTCTAACTATTGGACAGGCGTTTGATCTAGCTTATAGGTAAGTTTATATTGTCACTATCGCCAGAGCTTCCCTCCTGCCCTTTAGGCGATTGACCACCTCGCGGCGACCCAAGCCGAGGTCCGCATCTCGCATGACACGCCCTTGACCTAGCCGAGGTCCCGACTCAGACGCTACGCTCGCCAAAACAGCTTATGCTATGTCAAGGCTCTTCAGGCCTTCAGCAAGATTCAATTCCGAAAAGTAGCCACTAGGGCCTCCGAGCTAGTCAGTCTTAGACCAGGATCTTATCTTTAACTTGTAAAAGAACCTTCTTCCTATAATCATTACGATGATGTCAAACCTTAAATAATCGACGTATTTCCTCTTAGGCACATACATTTCGATATTGGAGCCAGTCAGTGGTCAGACCGGTGACGCCAACTTGTAAGATTTCGCCCAAATTTAGGGGGAATCAAGATGACATGGGGGTTTCTTTTCCCAATTTTTATTTGAAATTACCTCTCATACCGACTGTACAAGTACTGTACTGTACAGTCTAAAAGGGGGGGGTTTGATGTTGGTACTACGGGGAATATTCTGTTGGAGTTGGCATCACTGGGTTAGACTAGCCGAGGATCTTCTCTTTAGGTTGGAGAAGCTGTTCACCTTCCTCCACACGCTTTAATGAAAAGTGAGATGCATTTTTACTTTAGTCCAGACATTAATAACTTTATAATTTTCAGGCGCTTCTTGAATGACAACGGGAAGTATATAGAATTGCAGAAGTTGACGCTCCAAAACAAAAAGCTGGAATTGCAGATTACAGCATATAAGAACCGATTACAGGTAATATCTTAAACTAATTGATCCCTAGGTGTAGAGATGTGGGGTCCCTCTGCATCTTCTACCGCATTTACCATGGAGAGTGTTCAGAGTTCATTTAATACCAGCAGTTGAGTTTCAACCAAGCCTTTTTGAGGCACTTTTTGCATCACCACTTATTGGAACCAGCTGCCGACAGAAGTAATTCCGAACCAATTCGACTTAGTAGTACTCCAGCGAGTGTAGGAATTTTAGAAGGCCGGCAAGGCACTCGCGAGCCATTGGCGTTGCTCATGGGTGGTATCACTTAACATCAGGTGAGCCTCATGCCCGTTTGCCCCTTGTTACATTAATAGAAACATATTATTGCCCCGTTTTGGCTAAAGAACTACTCTGTAGAAAGAGAGATTATTTGGACTTTATTTTATTTATTTATTTTATCCTTTTCTCAGTTTTAGTCATAGTCTGACAGTTTGAGTAATTTATGCGGCCTACCCAAATGTCTTTTCTTTGGACTTGACAGGTCCACTCAATCTGTGTGGTTCTTTCCTCGAAAGACCATTTCAGACTGCAATCTACATGGTCTTCACATAATCTTGTTATGTCTGGACTTTAAAAGAGACTGTGACCTCTGAGTTTGTTTCGGCGTTTCTTCTCAGAGTAGTCAGATAGGAAACGTGGATCTCATCTAGTTTAAAAAAAAATATGTTTGACGTGTAAAAGTGTTTGTACAAACCTACTTACAGAAATAAATCATTTATCATTTATTTACTGGAATAAAACAAATTGTTTAATCTGGTTTCCTTTTTCCGGGCCTCAATCTTTTTGTTTGTCCTTTTAATAGGCTGTTGATTGATTGCAGGAGCTGTCAAAAATAACATACAAGGACGACTTGTCCGCGTACCTCACACGCAACAAAATCACGGACATAGTCGAATTCAAAACGCCACTGGAGTTGGAGAAGCAAATCTCGTCTCTGAGTATTGCGAATGGGTTTGGGTGTAATGGGAAGGTGACTGAGTTTGGTGAGTTTTGTTTGCAAAGCAGTGTTGGCCCAGGGTTTTCAGCGTGCGACTCTCATCCCTGAGATCGTAAACCCGCGTGCACCAATGTACTTTCTAACGCATTTAACATTCGCTCAAACACGACGGCATGTGACACAGGAGGCTGATCACCTACTTGCCCATTAGATTGACAATCATGAAATAGATTAAGAAATCTGAGGCCCAGACCTAAAAGGTTGTAGCGCCACTGATTTATTTCGGTAGCTTTTTGTTTATTTAAATTGACGAGTATTTTTTTAAATAAATCATTAGGCGTAGGTATGTAATAAATGTTAGGTCTGTATAGTATATGTATATTGTATGTATATGTATTAGCAAGCTGCACTAGATAACTAAATATATGAGAGGGGGAGACCTAAGAATCTAACAACCCTACGGATAGGTAGTGAATATATAAATGATTACGGGATGTCTGCACTGGTAGGGTCGGTAGGGTCTGAGGTTGAAAGTGGTGGGATTATCTCAAAGCTATCGCTTACGATAATTTGGACTTGACGGAGACTTCGGTAAAGAGATAGAATGATTTTTTCTAATGTACCAATGTTATATGTACAACTTCCAGGCGCAGATGCTCTGTCAAACAACTCGACAGACACCAACAATTCGAATGACAACAATTTGTTGTTGTCGACTCCGCCACCAGTTCACAACAATAAGACTGGGTGAGTTTTTGAATAGGTCTTTGAATTTGGTATGTCTTACCTTACCTTTATACTTTATATTTTTTATCTTAATTTTATTGCTTTTTTTTTTGCAAAATTTTTACTATTTTTTATTAATTTTATCGAGATCTTTTCTAAATTTTCGATGTTTTTCTAAATTTTATCGATTTCTTTTCAAGTATTACGTCACGCAATCCCCGCCCCGCATTGTAACGTTTTACAAAAGGACCCCCCCATCCAAATTCGTTACGTAATACTGGGCCGCAGGGAGCGTTTTTATTTTATTTAATTTTTTTGTATTTTTTTCTCTAAATATATTATCAGTATGCTCCTGGGTGACTTGTCTCCAAGCAAGACTCCATCGGTAGGAACCAAACTGGAGGGTCTCCTCATGAACTCGGACTCTGATAGTGGTATGTTATTATTCTTATTATTAATTAAATTGTTTATTATTTTCTTACTAAAGTATTACTTTTGTTAGTATTCTATTTGTATGGCCCGTTTTAGGATCAAAGCCCCTCAATATTTTTCCATTCCTCACCTATCTCCCTCTATTAAGTGATCTGTACATCTCTTCTTTCGTTGTCCTACACATCTCTTTGCAGTAGGTCCAGTTAATTTTGTTGTTTCAGTGGTATGCTATATTTATTAATATTACTATTTTTAACAGAATTCGATCCTCGTGCCTACGAATCCGAGCCTGTGTCGCGCTTCAACTCGACCATAGAGAGTCCAACGCCAATTCGTGAGTATTTGTGTTGCCATAAGGCTCTGTTATTAAAGTTACCATTATTTGTGAACTAACGCTCGGCTCTCAGAAAGAAGAGCTAGTATAAAGTAGTCTTTTGTCTCTTTCTGTCGCAGTGTATTTACGCTGTGATGAAAAGAGTACTTTTGGAAATAGGCTATTTGATCAATTAATTTATTACTCAACCGTATTGGCTTAACAAATTCCATGAAATATTCATAATTAACTGATAAATGCTTTCTAGGCAATATGGCGTCGCACTGTGACGTACCATGAATTCACAGATCAGTAACATTTTTTTATATCAAATTGCCTATTGTCCAACTGTCCTTGCACGGCAGGGTCATGTCGTGACACGTTCCTATTAAGTTCACGGTTCGCGATATATAAAAACTCCATATTTTAATGATTATTTACAAGTTTTACTACATCACATTTTTCATATTAAACTTAAATTTTTCATACTAAATTTAACCTAACTGTTAATTTAACTATTAAAATTAACTATAATTGCATCAAGATTGAACTGAATTAACCAATTTAATTCAATTTTCAGTCGCCCCACCGCCAAAAACTCCGAAACGCCAAAACCAAAACGGGAATGACCCGTTCGGCTCGACGCCCTTCACGGTTCCGGCGCAGTCGTTCGCTCCCAGGCCGAATTATGACATTGACTTGAACCTTCAAACGTCTGTGTTCACGTCGACCAATCTGACAGGCTACGACCCGTTTGACACGCAGAAGGCGGGCATTTTCGGTTATGGCAACAACTTTAATGGATTCGCCAATTTGAGCGAGAAGCGGGAATTGGATAGAGGATTTGACGGGTTTCTGGACAAGACCATTACGGAAATGAAGGTATGTATCAAGGAATAATTTAAAAAGAAGAATTGGTTCCACTCTGGCTTCCTTTTTGTTATGATTATGAAACAGTTGTTCTTTGATAATAGGAAGCGTTGAAGATTAATTTTAAATAAATTCTGGTGTAGGACGAGACTTAAGTGTTTTTATTCACGTAAAACTTGTCGTTATTCCTTTAGGACCATGGTTCGGAACCCCATCACGGGTAAACGCCTTTTCGCATTGTTACTGATTAATAACTTGGGAGGAGTGTGAGAGAGACACTAATATGTTTACCAAGTTGTTGTCCCTTTTCTTCCTTAGCGCTTCAAGCGGTTCGTCACAGAATTAGACGCCATCTTGGCTAAAAAACGTTTTGCCGGGTATTTTAAATTATGAGTTATTTGAATTTTTAATCACCCAAAACAATTTATTATATAGGTACTAAGAAATATTATGAAATCGTTTATTAATAGCCCATTGTCATTGTCAACATTGTATTAGACATTGACAATTGTCTAAAGTCAACTGTCATTTACAGGACGGCTTCAGCAGAGGGATCAGCTTTGGAAACGACGATTTTTCAATAGACAACCTCGATCCTCTGAAGAAAAATTAACTACGATTGATACAAATTAGTTATATTTAAGACAATATTATACAATATTTTAAAGCCTATGTATTATAAGATGTGACTCGGGGGTTAATACTAACCTTTATGGTTTTGCACAGATAATTAAATATAGTCGATAAAGCAGGGCATTGAACGGAATTAAAATTCTTAAACATTTATATCTTTTTTCGAAAAGACGGTCTTTTACACTCTTACTTGGCTTGGGAAAATGGTCACGTGATTAAGCTAATGTTATCTCCATAAAAATTGGACACGCCTGTCGAATATCTTTGCCTTGGCCCCAATTAGGGTAGTCTCAAGGCTAACTCTCAATTATAAAAAAATATTTGCGTATTAAATCGTGTCATTAAAAAGGTTTTTTTCATAATATATTAGGCACTTTGAAGATATATTTTTTATAAGAGCTGATAGCACATCGCCATCTCTTCTTGATTTTGAGATGTCTTGGTTCATACCGAAAACAATTTCGAGTGACATATTAAAATACAATGTTGCCATGTTTGGTTACAAATTCTCCGTGATAATAGATTAAATTGTCTTTGATTTGTTCTTTATTTATGCACTATTCAGTGCCTGAGACCACAGTTTGTGTATCCGATCTTATGAAGTATTATCTGTAGAACTGTGGTCTTATAGTTTTAAGAATGTATTTTCATAGGTTAATTATGTTTAGGGACCAAAAATAGTTTATGGCGTCGGTTGTACACTTATTTTCATAATTTTTGCTTAATTACAAATTTTATGAACAATTTTTGACCAATAATATCGTGTAAATTTAGTATGTAGTGCGCAATACAGAAGCGGCGCAATCCGCCATTTTGGTTATTTGTCGCCAAACTTTATGACAATTGTCAATCCTGACGTTTAGAACTTTTAAAAATACGTTAATATTAGCTAATAAATTAAAAATTATATATGTATATACCCTAACAAAGCATTTTAAAATTATTCCGTTATGCCTGAGGTGCATTGTGTAATTAAAAATTTATAATTGGAGTTTATGTCCTGAAATGTATTTTGAACTTGTACGATTTAAATTAAGCAATAATTATGAGAATTAGCTGGTGTACAGAGTGGGCTTTTTAATAATAATTGAACTTTTGACTATAGATTATACAAATCTTTTAACTTTGGTATTAAAAACTCCACTCACTCCAAAAAGATTAATTAAAGTTCGTCGTATTCTGTGATAATTCTTTCGCAATTTAAGGTCTAAAATTGTTTTTAAATTTTTATTCGGTTCCAGAATGTTTTGTGGCTCACTTTGCTCTATCAAAGCAAAGATAGAAAGTCTTTTTTATATATTCTATGACTACTATTTCATATCGAAAATATATGTAGTATGATTGTTTAATATTATGTAAAATTAACTTAAAATTGAAATATAAGTGACATTTCCTTACCACACAATATAATATTGGCAAAAACATTTTCTATAGATTATGGTCTATAGTAACGTCAAAACCGTCAACGTCAATATCTATTCAGTTGAATAGATTGAATAGATAGTTATCTATTCATTCTGTGGGTAAAATTACACTTTTCATTAAAATAAGTTTTTAATTTCGCCCTTTCAAGTAAGCCTTTAGAATATTCGGAAAGAGGACGGTCGTGGGATTTAATGTGCTCGTTGTTGACAACACTTACGTGATACGTCATAGTTTGAGATATATTGAAAAATAAAGTATAATTGTGAATAAATAAATGAAGAGCAAATAAGATTATGTTAGTTCACATTACTGCCATAGAGGTCCTCTTTCTGCACAGACTATAGCAGCGTATAAGGAAGGCACTGTCAATTGTCACCTTGACTATTGAATAAAGTGGTAAATGTATTTTATATTGTAAAACGTCATAGAATAAAGTGGGTCACAGTGTTAAGTTCAGACAAGGACATGAGCCTAACATTCTGGAAAATACAATAATATTAAAAAATATTAAGATTTGACAAATTAAAAAAATGTAAATAAAAATCATTTATGTCTATCCAGACACCATGACTAAGAGCAAGATTACATATCCAGTGAATTATTTAATTTAATTATTTCTCAAGTTTTTGAGCAAATAATTTTTTTTTATATACAATATGCCTAACTTTAATATGTATACATAACTGACTTACTGAGTGTAATTAGTTATTATACCATGAAGTCTACAAACTAATTTTGGATTTTTTTAGTTTTCAAAAAACATATTAAATTATTCATATTATGTATTAAAAACCTTTTTAAGCGACCACGTTTTAGTATCAAGAATGTATTTTGACATATGGAAGTAACATTTAACAAAATCTTGCTCAAACAGTTGTGGTGTTAATTTATTTGTATATTAGTGTCTACTGTTGTATGCTTTAGTGAAATATATTAGTTTTGTAATGACGAAACATACATTGTATATTATAATAACATATGTTTATATTTGGTGTTTTATTTAAAAACCCTTTAGAACCAGCTGACATTCCACTCATTTCCTTACCGGGGCGTTCATAAGTAACCTTTTCAGGTTTTAAGAATTGATATATAATGCCACTGATATGTGCAAACAGACCACTATAGTTTGTTGGTTGGGGCAACCCAACCAACAAGCTTACAAAAGCTTAACGTAAAATCGATATCGATAATAGTACGTCCTAAAAACCCCTTAAGACATTGTTTTTCCTCGTAAAGTTAGGAGTAAAACCCCAAACTTGGCATCACTGAACTATTAGCCTCTTGAAAGTTAGTAATTATTAGTATTCATGTTATATATATATATACGCTTACTCGTTTTAAAATCAAATAATTCAGGTCTAACTTTATAGATGTCACTATTATAAAGAAATTAAGAGATTAGGAATTTATACAATTTTTAAATTAAATAATAATATTAAAATGGTTGTATTGATGTTGTGAATTTAGACGAGTCTATCTAATAATACTCTGATTTGACGTCGCCTAAAATAAAGACAAAAATGACATTAAAATTTCTATCGCCATTCCGTTTGTTTTTGTAAACGTCATAACTCATACTACTGAAAAATATGCAACAGATTTTCCGCGACTTTCTCTCCGGTAATCATTTAATTTGAAACGAACATTCCATAGTATGATCTGAATTAGCGATTTTATTTATTCCTAAGCAGTATTTAGTGTAATTGTGCAGTATTATTCAAATATGGTGGACCTTAGTGGTGGGCAGGACGGCCCCTTGGAACATGCATTTTCCAACACAGTTTTCATCATTCCTGGAATCGTTGTTGTGGGGTTATCAGGTAATTTATGATTGATTTTTTATTTGAAATAAGAATAACATAAAAGATCTACCATTTATATTGTTTTTGCAACCAAAACTAAACTTGAAAATCGCCTGTTGCACGACAATTTTTTTTTAAGAAAAGATTATTTTTATTGTCTACTAAATTTACAATCACACCCAGATGTGTAATAAAGAAATAGTAGTATTACTTATAATAGCCTTGTGATAAAATTTCGTTTCATTGTGTTTATTTGTAATAGTCTAAAACTGAACTAAAATTGTATCAAATCAATATGATACTTATAATGTTTTCATTATTAACATACTGTTTTGGAAGAGGTACAAGTATAGAAAACATGTAACTGAATTTACTTTGTAATATGTTTACACTTTGTTTTAAATGTTTTGTTGTTGTTAAAACAATGATTATTTATTGAGAAATACCTACTTAATGTTGAAGAGAAGATGGAATGATTGCGATAGTGCATGTTTAGATATCTATGACAATTGTCAATATGAAGTGAAAGTGGAATTTGTAGGTGATTAAAAAAAATCGCAAGCAAGCTAAAAATTCTGTGCAGTTAAAACTCATTTAATAAAAGTACAGTTGCCTCGCCATGTTAATGTCTTACATAGCCTTAGGTTCTAGTCATTATATGGGTGAGATTCAGAATGTTCTAAAAAAAGGCACAAGTTATGAAAGCGGGGCATGTAAGTACCATAGCATGTAGAGGCGTTCCCTGTGTAAATGTAAGCAAAGTGTGACTTTAATAAATGTATTGGCAATAGTTGTTAGGTGAAGGATTGTAAATTAATACAGATAAGCCTATTGTATGATATTGGTATGGAACAGAAACATACTTATGTTAAACAAACCTTTTCTTGTCTCTTTAAAGAAGATCTAACACAAGATACTTTTTATAGCTTAAAATCCCACGTTACCCACTGTTTTCTCTCATTAAGGTTAATTTGTTAAAATCAATCGCCAAGATGTACTCTGTTTTATTTATTAGCACACACCCAAAATACATGAAATGATTTTCAATTCAAGAGCTTCAAGGTAGCTGTATTTTACTTGCTTTTACATCTTATAAAGTTTTAATGGACAATTCAGATATTTACAAAAATATTTGTAGTTGTACAATCTGTGGATATTACCAGTGCCATTAAGCATTTTACATGTGTGAATATAAATAATTTTAAAACATCTTACCATAAATAACAAGATCATTAGAATGCTAATTTTGTTACCAATATAGATATGGCAATAGACAATAGTTTGACAAGATTAAATAAAACCAATATTTACTATAGATAACCCAGTTTCTTTATTTTTTCTGTTAAATGTTTTCACATTCATTATTTCAATAACCCGCCAAAATGCTTTTCTAGCCAAGATGGCGTCGCACCACTAGCAGTCCCTGTGACGCTTACAAACGTAAAGAAATGTTATGCGTGAAGTCGCCTGCGTGTTAATCGTTCTTAAATTACACATAATTTGAATTTCGATAAAAATCTCGTCTCCGAAGATTAAACAGCATTAGGATTAGACAGGCGAAAACATTATTTAACATGAAGGTCCTTCATTGTTAATTCGACTTATACGTGACCGTTTTGAGTTGTGTCATGTGTGTGACGGATGAATGTGAAAAAATAATCGATTATTAAAAAAATCGATTTTAATCGATTTTTTTAAAAATTAAAAATCGATTTTTTTTACACGATTTTTATATTTAAAATAATCGATTAAT